AACGATGCTGCCACACTCAGTCTTCAGCTTTGACAGTTGGCTCTTACGGGCAGACAGATCTCTGGCAAAGACTTTGGAGCCCTGGTTCCGCTCGATCGCTTCTTTAATACGAGCAGTATTAAAGTTGCGTAAGTCTCGCCGCATGCATTTGGAGATCTGTCTGTTCAGTTGCCTGTATGCTGTCAAATCTGTTGACGATTGCAGCCTCATCTCCCGTCTAACAGCCATCAGATTAAGAGTGTGATCGGAGAGTTTTTGTGTTCTTCTGCGGCGGGTCTTGCAGAACTTAGCTCCGACCGCATGGACAGTTTCCACGAGCTTGTCATTCATAACGTCCACTGCATTGCAATCTTGTAGGCACTGAAAGCGAGCTGATAGTTTTCGGGATTCTGGATTAGAGCACGAGGGGGACGGAGCGTTGACTTCATTAGACGAGATCTCTCCAACTTAACGTTTAGGTTCAGTGTGCCTCTAACCATTCGGTAATCGCTGCCAGTTTTCACCCTTGCGATCACTGAGACATCACTGAACAGTTGGCGTCTGGTCGTCATAATGAAGTCAATCTCATTTTTTGTCGAACCGTCGGGGCTCGACCAGATCCACTTCCTGTGGGGCCGCTTCTGGAAGAAAGAGTTCATCATAAAGAGTCCCTCTTTCTCCATAAAGTCGGCCAGCTGCTGGCCCCTTCGGTTCCGTTGCCCTACTCCAAATTTCCCTAACTTCAGCTCACCGTTTTCTCTTGTGCCTAGTTTTGCGTTGAAATCTCCCATCAATACTGTGTAGTGGGTTTTGGAGGAATGCATGGCTTTGGAAATATCCTCATACATTTCCTCCACCTCCTACGGAATGTGCCGAGGTTGGTGCGTAAACCTGTATGACTTTCAGCGAATACCGTTTGGTGATTCTGAGTATCAGGCACGCGACCCTCGTCGACACACTCCCAATCTTTACAACGTTGTTGACGAGAGACTTGTGGACGATAAATCCGACACCTCCTTGGGACAGATGGTCGCCCTCCCGGTGATAGAACATGTTGCCGGATTCGAGAATCACCGTGTCCTCCCCCTCTCTTCGGACCTCGGATAATCCTATAATACTCCAGCGCAACTTGTCTATCTCTTCTTCCAGCTCCAGGATCTTCTCGTCAGTCCTCAGTGTGCGTGCGTTAAATGTTGCCAGGTCGAGTCGTCGTAGGTGGCAACCGAACCTCCACCGGAGATTCTTAGCACCCCCTGCCCCGTCGGTACCATGGTCGCCACCGTAGCCAGGAATAGCGGGGCCGCCGGGGACTGGGGGCCGTCTATTTGTGTAATTGTTCATGGGGGGTATATTGCCATAGTTGCCACGCTTGGCGAGCGGGTTGGCAACCGCAGTTTTTTTTTGTCGTACAGTTGCTGTTATCAGGAAGATGCTGCTGCCCATCTCCTGCCTGTTTCCCTCTGTAGACTTTTACGACACCCACGGGAAGATATGGTGTAGTGGATATTCTTAACCGCCACTACACGGCTTCAAAAAATTCAAAGTAATTGTTTATAAATGGAACGTATTTCAAAAAAGTATAATTGTTTTTCTGACATAAACTGTCATGAGTAAAATAAAAGGGCTCTTCTTTTCAATTTTCACACTAAACATGACGTGGTTTTATTTCTATATCTTAAATAACATGTCACGTTGTTTGTCCGCGATGGACTCCTAATCTACTTAACCAATTTGAAACAAAATTGCATTTGCATTTGTTTATTTGCCTACGAGTGACCCACAATTTTTTTGCTAATTTAAGGATTTTCACTAGGACATGAGAAAGGGTCGTCGAAAAGGGCAGAATAAAGTCTGAGAGGCAAGCTAGTCTTTATACATATATAAATTACGTGTCACGTTGTTTGTCAGCGATGGACTCCTAAACTAAAACCGATTTTAATCAAATTTGCACACCGTGTGCAGTTTGGTCCAACTTGAGAGATATGATAGTTTTTTTGCCCATGAGTGACCCACAATTTTTTTTCTAATTTAAGGATTAGTCGAAAAGGGCAGAACAAAGTCTGCGTGGCAAGCTAGTCTTTATACATATATAAATTACGTGTCACGTTGTTTGTCAGCGATGGACTCCTAAACTAAAACCGATTTTAATCAAATTTGCACACCGTGTGCAGTTTGGTAGAACTTGAGAGATATGATAGTTTTTTTGCCTATGAGTGACTCACAATTTTTTTTCTAATTTAAGGATTTCGAAAAGGGCAGAACAACGTCTGCCTGGCAAGATAGTTTTCTATATTTTTCATTATTTAATACATACATGGTTCGTCAGGCGAATTTTTACTTCTGAGAACTGTAAGGAACTGCACCGCGGAAATATATCGTAAACTCAGTAGTGTTCAACAAGGATTGAATCTGTTTTTAAAGAAATACCAGCGGAAGCGGCGAAGCATTTTCGAGTCAGCCATTAGCGGAAAATAAAAATCTTTATGGTATATGTTTAATGTATGGTGTGTTTGTCGGAACAAAAAGATTGGATAACTCAATAATTGAGCGGCACGTAAAAAATAATAACTACTAACCGCCTGTTGCACGCACGATGAGTTGTAATGGTGGCAGTTGTCGTTTGTCGGCGTTTGAAGACCGTGACGTGAAGTGGAGACTGCTGCTGTTTAGTGTGCCGCTGTAACGGAGTTGGACTAACTATTTGATTTTTAATCTGCAAAATAAAATAGAAACTTTCGGCTATTAAATAATTTGCAGCGATTGTGTTTTTTCTCATGTCTCGAGGTTCTATATACTGTATTGTGTATGCATAAGTAACCTACTAAACATATTTTTATTTAGCGTTTCAATTTGTTAAGATGGAGGACGCAATAACAAAACGAATCAACAGAAGAAAGTATAATAAAGGTATAATAAGGTTTTGACGACTCCGTGGCGTTGTGGCTTAGCAATGAGTGGCTGCGCTGGGAGTTGCGGGTTCGAATCCCGCACGGAACAAGTATTTTTATAGCCTACAAATAATTGTTGCGGGTCTGGATGTTTTTCCTTGTGCAATTTATGTTTGTAAACTACCCCCACGATACAAGAGAAAATCCTAGTGTAGGGGTAACGTTAAAAAAAAAGGTAGGTTAACAAATATTCAAAATCAGCAAGCAGAGGTAAATATTCCCGAGCAGCATCTGAAACTGTTAAACAAATCTTTTCCTGAAATCTCTGTAATTGATATACCTGAAAATAAGCTCACTGTGCATTACTCAGTCACAATGTTGATTATGTTACTAAATCTAATGACTACTTAGTATAAAAAGCATGAATGATTACTATTTCTTGTATTTTTACTTTATTACCTAATTATTTTATTAATATGTACTAACTAGTTATTGTAGTAATGTGTCAGTAATGTAAGAACCAGGTTTGAGGTTTAAGAACTTGGTTTACTGTTACAGCTCGAACATTCCGTACTAACTTGCTACTGCTTGTGCTATACGATTGTTCGTTTATTTTCTTTATTAGGTTTGGAAACAATAAATTAATTTGCCTTTGTTCAGGGGGCTTAATGTTTGTAAATGGAACGTATTTAAAAAAAAAGTATAATTGATTTTCTGACGTAAACTGTCATGAGTAAAATAAAAGGGCTCTTCTTCTTAATTTGCACACTAAACAAAACGTTGTGTTATTTCTATATTTTTTATTATTTTTTAAAATTTATACAGTAATCCTCTAAATCGCGCTGGACTCTTTCCTACTCTAAAATCTTATCAGAAATGAAAGTATGACGGTGTCCAGCGGTTGGAAGTATAAATTAGGTCAAGGATTTCCGACGTTAAAAGGCTTTGAGCTCTGCCTTCTCCGCTGCATGCATATATTATGTCCAGCACGAATTAAGCGTGCAATTTTCGGTGGACAAAATGTTACTTTATCTGAAACGATTTTTCTTATAATCCAAAAATAAAGGATCAAAATAAAAAGAATCAATTTTATTAGCGCCGGCGGGGTTCGAACGCGGGTTGCTTGCCTACACATACAAGAAAAAAGAAAAATAATTTACCAGCATCTGTCTTTCCCTTTGAGTATTCAATACTCAAAGGTCTTTCCGTTCGATTACATGTTATACGAGTACAATAAACGATACATTGCTGCGCTAAAACAGTGCAAGCGTCCACCACGGGATTGTATTCAAGTTAATAATAAGTGAAAAAAGAGGAAAGATGAGTTAGATTTATGCGATGAACTATAATATCATATTAATTAATGACAACAAGGAATTAAAATAACGTAATGAACTATAACTAAGTTAATTAATTATAATAAAACATGTTTCATTTCTTAATTATTTAATACGAAATAAATAAATAATTAGTGCTTAACCTACGTTAATAAATACATATGTAATTAATTAGTAATATTAGGCAATATTTACAAAGAATTGATGACACTTTATGGGCAACAGCCTTGATCATCGCATGAATAAAATATATACGCACCGCAATCAATTATACTATATTTATACATTTAAAATTGTTTTTGTGATTAAAAATATTAAATACGCCTCGTTTTTTTAAGGTAAAAAGTTCTTTCAAATCGTTGTAGTATGAAACTCTAAACTAAACACGACACTAAGAAGATACAAAAATAGATGTCTATAGAATTTTGCCTGCGGGAGAATTAATGTTTCTAATGTTCGTCTCATTCTCCCGAATTTTAGTTTCCTGAAGGAATCACTTTTACCGCGTGTAAACTGTACACATGTTTTTTTTTTTTTCATACTCTTTTATTGTCACCCGATTCTGAGCTATTTTCAAAGTTTAGTTTTCCAGCTGATCGGAAAGTCAGTTTAAAATCAATTACTGAATTTGACCCTAAGTCGAAAGCGAGTTAATAAAAACGTAGTTATAATAAAGTATAAGTACAATTCTAATTCAGCGACGACATTCGTTTTTCTATCACTTGCTGTCAATATGTCAAATTCTTTGAAGAACTAAACACGCTAAAGGTTACAGTCTATGCCACCATAGGCGTAACTACCGGAAATGGTCCAGCGGTTCATTTATCGGAGGCTGCAAGCCGAGAGGTATGTGGTTATGAAACTGCTGATCCGTCTCTTGGCCGTCATCGTTACGACCCTCAATGCCCTGCTGTGGCAAGCCGTACTCATTACTCGGTTGGTGATTAAAATTGTAGTCCTGGCCGTGTTGGGCGTACTGCGGATCGTGCTGGGTGAATTGTTGGTCGTGTTGGGCGAACTGTTGGTCGTGCTGAGCGAACTGTTGGTCTTGCTGAGCGAACTGTTGGTCATGTGGGCCAAACTGTTGGTCATGTTGTGCAAACTGTTGATCATGTTGTGAGAATTGGTCATGTTGGGGGAACTGCTGGTCGTGTTGAGCAAATTGCTGGTCATGCTGAGCAAACTGTTGGTCAGGCTGTGCGAATTGTTGATCATGTTGGGCATACTGGTGGTCTTGCTGTCCAAAACCCTGATCGTTTGGAATATACTGCTGATCATATGGTGCGTATCCGTAACCGTGGTACGCGTTGTCGGGGCTAAATTGAGAAAAGTCATGGTTTGGGACACCATACTCTTGACCGGGTTGTTGGGTCGAGGCGTATTGGTGGTTCAACTGGTGTTGATTGTTGATGTGTTGTTCATATTGGGCCTGTTCAATTTGCTGCTGGATGTGGTGCTGGAGTTGGTGATGCAGGTCATTGTACTGACCCCCACCAGTGTGATGTTCGTAAACCTGCGTGCCCTGCTCCTGTGTAAAGTGATGATGTGATTGAGGTTGTGGGAAATGGGCTTCGGGATTGTGAGTTGGAGTGAGGTCGTGGGACGTTGTCACTGGGGACCAGCCGTCGTGATCTAAGGATGTTGGTTGAGTGGGCTGTAAATGCACAGCTGGTTGAGGAACGGCGTCAGGTTGCAGGTGTATTGTTGGTGTCGGTTCTATAGCTACGTTCGTCGTGGCTTGCTCTATCACACCTTGTCCTCCAGCCTGGGGTACCAAGTGGTACTGTGGGACTTGGGGCCTCTCAAATAAAACTTGAGGCCTTTGCAGCAAAACTTGAGGTCTATTTAATAAAACCTGTTCGGCACCCGCGACAGAAGCTGGCGGGGCTAAAGGTATAAGTGGGGACTGGTAGTTGAGTAAAGGATACCGAGGATAGGTGGCGAAGAAAGAAGACTGCACCGCTCCACCATGACGTAGGACGTACGGATATTGCTGAGCGTACTGCAGTAGCGGAGTGGGGAACACAGATGCTGGTTGGATAGGCACGGCCCCAGGTACTAGTGGTTTAAGATTCAAGTGGTTTTGTTGTAAAAAGTGAAGAGGAGGAGGGGCCACCGGTGCTGGTGGTGCAGCCACGGCTGGTGCAGAGTGAATTAAGATTGGTGGGGATGGAGCTGGATGGGCTACAGCGGCTGTAGGTTGCGCTATAGGAACGAATGCTGGTGCTGGGGCTGGGACGGGCACAGGAGCTGGGACCGGAACTGATACAGGTGCTGGTGCGGGAACTGGTTCCGGGGCAGGTACAGCTGGAATTAAGGGCACTACAGGCCTTGGCGACACATGATGGTGGTGATGATGGAAATAATGATCCGGTCTTGTATACACCACTGATTTAGTGGAATGAGGGAACTTGAGTCCGTAGTGATGGTGAGAGACCGGCACTCTATGACCAATATGTACTGGGTAACGTGGCGCAGAAGGCTTTGTCAAAGGCACTTTCACCGTAGCGACGGCAGCAGTCGGAGGATAAGTCACCACCAGCGGCTTAACAAGGGAATGGGATACCAATGGAATATCATGGCCTAACTTAAACGGGGGCACTGCGGAAATGATCCCACGCTTGTGTTGCTTGGCCTTGCTTGTCAAACTGCTCAGAAATTTCGCATTCCGCGATTTCAGGTGGATGATGTCTCCGGTCACCAACCACAGGCATCCACACAACACCAACGCGATCTGAAATACACCACGAGGCATTTTAGTTACCACACAACTAACCACTTTGAAATTTCACAAACACTACACTACTTGCACTACACCACCGATACTTACTGCCGTGAACTTCATGCTGGTGCGGTCGCCCGTTCGGTGCGACTCCCATTCACAAACCAGTGTCATCGGAGCCCACCACCCATACTTATAACTTAAAAGTAAACTACATTAGTATGTAACCGGCGTCCAAGTTTCACTCGGGGCGGCCGGACGCCCGCGGCTGAGCCCTGTTCTTCCGCGGCTTTCGACTATGCCTAAATGCATGCGTCAATCAAAATACGACAAACAAATTACTTTGATATGAAAGAGAGCTTTATGTTGTCGCTATAAAGATCATATTTCATTATCCGCTTTGTGGTTAGGTCTGAACGTGGAACGGGCTACCGTCATCCTCGTAACACACATGTAACAATGCATACCAATCGATTAAGAAACGTAATCGAGAGAAAATTGTAACTGTTGCGCCAGGGGTGGACTTAGTTATAGAGAAAGGTATTAATAATAGAGAGGTCAGGTATGAGTGTAAGTTGGTCAATTGCGTGAGTGATTGAATAACTAAGTATCTGAATGACTGAGTGAAGAAGAATAAGGTGAAGAATGATTAAATAATGGAACGGAATAAATGCAAGATGGGAAGAGACGCGTTCTTGAACGGAAAGCGTTAGACCGTAAGTGTGGATTATTATATAAATGTATTAATAAATAATATATAGTATATTATTCCTTTTATATAAAATATCAATTCTATTACATGTACATATATGATCTCAATAATCGACCCTCTTAATATTTTTTAAACAAAAAAATATTTGTGTGTTTTTCTCCTGTGTTTGAATTCAACATAATATCGAGTATTATATACCATCAAAAAAGATCATATTTTTTAATATACAATAATTTATAAAAAATACATAAATTCGATCATAACATAATTCTTAATTTTAATTCAAAAGCGACAGTAGCCTAATGGCAGGGCGCGGACCACGAACTTAAAAAGGTCGTGAATTCGAATCCGCCATTCGACTACTGTCGTGAACCACTCGTAACACAAGCAATTTATGCTTACCACGAGTGGTTAAGGGGAATATTAGTAATGTATATAGCATTGTTAATATTCTTTTAAAAAAAAATTTATAGTAAAGAAGAAGAAAGTCTAAGATTTAGTGTTTAGTTTAACTCAAGTTTCAATGGCCTATTGAATTCTCATCTACCAGCTACCACAGAAAAAATTATATATCAACATTTTTTTTTTCAATCAAATATGCGAACTGGAACTGAAATAGGCCATTAGAACAATTAAAAGGACAAGTTTATATTTTGACGTAAATTATTTTTGTAACGAAAATTATAAAACCAAATCCAATCGCGTGATATCAGAATTATTATCTTTATATACTTAGAGTCCTTCCTCAGAATATAGAACAAAATCTACAATGTATGATCTATAATATCAAAATATATTATCTAAATCTATCCGTGCTGTTCCTAAATATTTTCATAACATTTGTCTTTTGTGTGTATTATATTGTAAGTTATGCTTCTAAAAAAAAGTCCCGCTGAATTTCTTGCTAGTTCTTAACAGGATAGAGGTTTTTTTCCGAACCTGTGGTTAAAGTAAGAAATGATTATTAATAAGAACCACATTTAATCAATATTCAATAAAAATTTTCTATTCTATTCTATTATATGTCTATTCCCTTTTACCCGACAGCCCCAGTCATCATGAGTCATGGGATTGGGTCAGGAGGGTCATTTTTTCAAGTATATGTAAGTATGTATGGCTTTTTTTTGGCACGCTCTGTAGCTTAAACGGCTTGACGGATTTTAACATACGGGGTGTCGTTAGATTCGTCTTAGTTGTGAAAGTGATAGGGTATTAAAATATTCTTTTTTAATTAAACTTTTTTATTAGGATGATTTTTTTTAATTTTTACTAATTACCATTGGGCTTGTCGTTTAAAAAAATATTCTCTGAGTCCAGCCCTGTACTCAGGACATCGATATGCGAACCACGCAGTTTGATTACCAAATATACAAGCTCACTTTCCTTCGCTCTCACTATCGTTGTGCCCACTCTTACGTTCGAACTTAACTGCTCTATGTCCTTAAGTTGTTACAATTAAGTACCAAGTGACCTCAGAAGTGCTTCTATGGAGTGAAGTGGTAGTTAGAATATGTAGCATATGGTATTGTTACAACACTTTTGATTTCAGTAATATTCACCGAATAGTAGGATACCTTTCTCTCTTACTACCACCAAGCTACAGTGCATGCATGCCATATTATGGTTATAGCACGCATGGATCGGCTCGACCGGGGTAGGACCCCGCTCTCACAGAATACCATTGCAAAAAGCAGCTCAATACTGCCGTGTTTCGTATGGTGAGTGTAGAGAACCGGGGACCCGTTTTACTGGAAACGAGGCATTCCCTCCTAGTCCTCAGGGGTGATGACGCATCTGCATTTTGATTTTTGATCGAGGCTAAATGTAGATGTCAATGGACCACAGCATCAGGTGGACTGTGTGTTTGTTTGTCACCTTATTCTATATAAAAAATAGAGAGCAATATAATTACAGTCAGTGAAGTATTCCATGTTGGTCATCGGAGGTGACAACGCATATGTAACTTTCATTGTTTGAGTTTAGTTATACTTATGTATAGACTGCAGTAGGCACTTCCCAAAAGTTCCAAACCATATTCAAAACATGACATTTAAACTTTAAAAAAAAATTATTTTTGGGATTCTGATTGAAAACTGTTTTTATGACAGAAACGAATTCATCAAACGGTGGGTGACGGTCACCTCAAGCGAATTGTTGTTGAAGTATGAAATTTTAAACTGACAAATGAATTAGAGTTTGTAAGATTGACATTGTACTAGTTTGAAATTACGCATTATAACATGACCACGCCTGTATATTTTTTATTTTACTGTTTTATTCAAATTAATATGAAATAAACATAAACACTCACGCCTGTCACCTAGAGGGGTAGGCAGAGACTACAGACTTCCATTTAGCACGATCCTGACATACCTTTCTCGCCTCTTCCACATCCATATACCTACGCATACATTCTCGTCGGTTAAGGGTACTCTTAATTTGGCCCATATTTAGTATATCGCCAATTTGGTTGACAAACTTCCGCCTAGGACGTCCCTTTCCGACTCTTCCATTCACTTCTGCAACAACACAACCCCCTACCCTATCCTCCTTTTTTTTCTTTCTTTTTCCTTAATTTTTCAACCTTCCATTATTTTACTCTATTTTTTCCCCCCCCACCTTTCTTCTTTTTAAACCTGTCTGACACCTTTATGGATGCCAAACCAGTCCGAGTAGACCCCGTTGATTCTAACACAAGCACTCGAGTCCCTATACAGAGACTTTAATGCCTGTATCAAACCAGCGCTCAACCTAAATGCGTTCAGCGTTTGCCATAACACATCCCTATCCACTCTGTCATAAGCCTTTTCCAAGTCCATGAACGCACAAAAACTTTTTGGTTTTTCGCCAAAAACTTCTCCGCGATCATGCACATGGAAAAGACTTGATCTGTACACCCCATTCCCTTTCTAAATCCCGCTTGCACATCCCAAATTTTTCCATCAGTTTCTTTAATGATCCTTTCAATCAGTACCTTAGCATACAGTTTTCCCACAACGTTTAAAGATAGGTTTAGTTTTTGCTTCTTTTATATTTCTGGGTAACATGTTCCAGAGTCTTACTGCATTTGAAGTGAAAGAATTGTAAAAGAAGCCCGTGCGACAGAGAGGAACATGAAGAGTTAGATTTTCCGCGGAACGGAGACATCGGTTGTAAGAATCGCCCTGATACTGAAATTTGCATTTCAGATATGCAGGGACAAACGGATCGTATAAAATAGAGAATAGCATAGAAAGGATTCTAAAAGATCTACGAAGTGAAAGAGGCAGCCATTTGAGCTGAGAACGGAATGAAGAAACGTGATCGAATTTACGTAAGCCAAAGATAAAGCCAATACAATTATTGAGAAGACGATCCAGTTTGTTAAGAAGTTCTTGAGAGCCATCAGCATAGCATACATCTGCATAATCTAGTGTTGGTAATACGAGCGTTTGAACCAACATTACCTTTGTTCTCACTGGAAGAAAATTCTTGAGTCTATACAGACAACGCAAGGTGTTGATAACTTTTTTGCTTACTTCCGTGACTTGCGGTTTTCCCACAGTTTTTGTATTTTCCCACAATGCTAAGAAGGCTGATACCACGGTAGTTTTTACAGTCCTGCTGTGACCCTTTTCCCTTATATATTGGGACTATCACGGCTTTGCACCAGTCTCCCGGTACCCGCTTTAGTTCCCAACATAAATTAAACAAGGTGTACAGCAGGCCTGCCACCACGTCCTCTCCAGCCCTTAGTATTTCGAGTGAAACTCTATCATATCCGGCTGCCTTACCTACTTTCATGCTTTTCATTGCTTTCATTATTTCATCTATCCTTATCTCCCTATCTCTTTCATCTTCTTTCGGAATTTCTATTTCATTTAGTTCACACTTCTCCTCACTCATGAATATGCTTTCAAAATATTCCTTCCATCTCTTTAGACTCAATACTTCATCATTCAGGATACAGCCATTCTCGTCTCGTATTGCATTCAATCTAGGCTGTTTTGAATGTCCTCTGGTATTTCTTACGAGTTTCCAGAACATTTTAATATTTGCCTGGAAGTTATCTGATATTCTTCTATCATTCTTATCCGTTCTTTCTTGCTTTTTCCTTTCAACTAATTCTTTTACTCTCTTATTTAGACGTTTAAACTCTGCCTTTTTTCTTTCATTCTCATCATTCATCATATCGCATACTTCATCCATCTTATCATTCATTGCTCCACATACATTCAGCGTAGCCAGACGGGCTTCCGCAATCCTCTTTTCGCCCCTCTGGGAGACAGAACGTGACGGGTGGCGAACCTCGTCGCCGGTTTTCCTCCCGGAGATTCTAATT